AGTTGAAGTCCACTCATCTTAAAGTGGCCAAGTTTGGACAACACTGCTTTAGGCTGTAAAATGACAGATAGTACTGTTGGAGATCTTTCCAAGGCTTTATGGAAAACCTTAAAAGGGACTCATTTAAAATGCATCATTCTCGTGTGCTGCAGGTTCCCTGGCTGGCACTCTGTCTGGATTGCTCATGTTTGGAAAAATGTAAGGTCCTCTCACGGATAGTTCAGGAAGCTTCAGAAATGCTAGAGTTTGATACATTCCTTGAGGGAATTTTTAATGTTTAGACCCTAAACATGAACTTTAGAAGAAAGACTCTTTTTGAGCACTTCATACAGTAACAGTAAGATAAGCACCACCTACTAGAATACACAATTCTGTTATTTCTTTACCAATACCCTGGAGCAATTTTGCCTCTCCTCCATGCAAGTATTTGAAAAGTACATGGCCCAATATGCTATTTTATAATTTGTATCTCCTTTTCCATTTTTTTTTGTCAGTCATTTTTGGAAAGTTCTAGATGGCCTCTCTAGCAGGCAAATTATTATTTTTTAAATCATGGGTATCTGAAAATGTTAATAACTCAATTAAGTAGAGTTACTAAACCATCAGGGTAATATTTCACAGTAGTAAAATAGTACTTTTTTCCAGAAGTAGTGTTCCTTTACTGAGTTTCTTCTCTTCCTCCTCCTCGATTTTTTTTTTTTTAATTGAAAATTCTGCCTGCCTTTTCTTCTAAGGCATACATCCTTTTGGCTGTAGATGAAATCCAGTGGATTGCAAACAGGCTTTATGATGCCCTTTCAGCTGCTTTTTGTGCCCCCAAAACCTGCTCCAGAGCATTGAGTCTGGCACAGAATTTAAAGGTGGAAAGCTATAATGAGTTGGCAAAAGGAAACCTCTTTGTTATTGGTAACAAAAGTAGTTCTGTTGCTGTAAATACCTAATTGGATTTCACCAAATGTGGTTGTAAGGTACTCCAGACAAATGGCCAGACCTGTTTTTAATAACATTAAAAGCAAGATGAAAACTAAATCTTCTACAAAACCAGATAAACATTTGCAGGGAAGCAGGGAAGAAGCCGTGCTAGGATTTGCAGCTTGAGTTCTTCTCTGGAGTAAGTATATTTAGAAAGCAGGAAACATTTTTATTAGTGGTACCTCAAATAGGCATTTAGGTGAAGCAGACTGGCAAATAAGCAAGGAAAGATGTTCCCTACAATGTATATGCTAGGCTCCCTTCCCTCTCCTACAGAAAAGCTAAATTAATCTTTGCATACTAAAATAGTGGGGTAGAGGACTGTAGCAGCTTTTTAAAAATTAAGTTTATATTGTTAAATGAAAAAAAAAAGATAGCTAAATATAAGAGTTAATAAAAAACAGCAATAAAATAGGAAAGAATGGGGTCCAGAAAAACTAAATAATTGAATATATTATACTCAAAACTCTTCTTTGCTGCCTCATTGTTGAAAAGAACAAAGTCCTAATTACAACTCTTGTACTGTAGCTTTAAAGGAATTCTATAAACATTTAATTATTATAGACTACTTTATTATAAGAATACCTTATGATAAGTAGACATCATAATCAAACTTAAGAAAAACTCAGCAGGAAGAGCTACAGAAGAAAGCAACAATAACAAGCAACATAAAACCATTCAAATGTTCCCGTAATAATAACCCCTGTGCCATCTGATGAAATACATGCCACAGAAATCACATCTACAGGGAGGAAGAATTCCACAGAAGTCTCTGTCTCAGCTTACAATTATCATATGTAGAGCAAGATGTCACCTAGCAAAGTCAACCAGAAAAAGCAAGAATGTGACTGGTTTGCCCTTTGGTTTTCACTACTTCTGTTATTTAGTACAAAAAAGATCTGAAACAACCAAATGAATTGATTAGTGTTGCCACTGATCAGTTTTTCCCAACTTGGTGCTATCCAAATATATTGGGACTACAGGTGCCACTAGTAAGGGCAGGGAGTGGGGCATTTTGTAAGAGAGGAAATGGCTGGCAAGAGAGGAGTGTTTTATCTTTCCTGTGTTCCCTTCTTCCCTTTATTCCATCTCACAACAGCTTTGTCCCAACTAGAGTCCAAGATGGACATTTACCATGACTGGTAAGAAGTGCCAGGATGGGAGAAAAGTGGCAAAAGGAAAAGTTGAGTGATATTTTCCATCTTCAAGAGATTTCTTCCAGAGATTTCTAACACTGGCCCATGTTATGAGCTATTTCACTGTAGCTTTTTATGTGACGATTGAGAAGGTTGACCATTATGCCATGTGAGGAGGTGGATCACTGCAACCTCTGAATGAAGAACCTTCTGAAGTGACTCCACCCAACCCACTGGCTCTTCTGGATGCAAAAAAAGAGAACGTTTTCTTTGGTTAGGGAAACTTTATTAAGAAATAGTCTACATGATTTCTGATATTTTGGTTGCTTGTTGGACCTGACTTATAATTTGTTCTCTGTAGTACTCTAGCAGGGTTAAATGAATTATATTTTTTATAAATTTCTGTCATAGCTTGCACCAGAAACAAAAGGTGTGATTCATTGGATAATGGATATTCCCTTTGTACTGTCAGCCAATCTTCATGGTGGGGACCTTGTGGCAAATTATCCGTATGATGAAACTCGGACTGGTACGTATAGTTAATCCAGGTGTGCATAGCCTTCGTCAGCTTGATGGCTGCACTGGGTTCTGAATAGCATGCTAAGAACACATTCCCAAAAGGGACAGAACAATGTTTACTGTTTCCTTTATTTAAATTAATTCATTTTTTGTATTATTTATAAGTTTTACATTTCCTCTCTTTTTGTCTGTTATACCAGACTCCCCACAATAAACTGAATTATTTTTTTTATTAGTAGAGAGGCAGGCTTTTTTTTTTTTAGTATGTTATAATTTCCTCTACTGATGTAACTCTGCAACCTGTTTCTTTTTAAGGCTAGAAGAGCCCATGGAAGAGGGGAGACAAGAACTCTGGGGTGGGTTTTAGGGGCATAATAGTGAGGATGAGGATGAGATTATACCATTCTTCCCTCTGAAATTACTAAAAACAAAGAAAAAAGAAAATTAGCCTGATTTTTGAGAGGGGTGGGTGTATTATTAAAGGATGCAATATATGTCATAAGTCTTTCCAAGATCAAAGACATCTATTTTGCCCTTTAACCCATTTCCTAAAACAGGTACAAAAATAAATTACAGTTAACTCTTATGGCCAAACTGGATCTTTGCATTAAAAGCCCTGAACTTTTAAAAAGGCCATCCAAGGCACTGTGGTAAGCAATCCAGATTGGTATCTGAGTCTACAGTTAAAAGCGAGCTGGAGCCATTGCCTGTTCCCTGGTGTTGCACTTGAGTTACATTCACACTGTCTATGCCACTAAAAATGTAAATGCATATAAGTCTTATTTAGTTACTCTGTGTGCTAAATGGAAAATATGCAGTGCTATATGTGGGCTGTGCTGTGTGACCCCAGGAAGGGGAATGACTGCTTTGAGATGCTATAGATAGGCACTACATTTGTGTTCCCACACACTTCAAAGCACCCCTTGGAGACCGAACCTGAAATGCTATACAGCCCTAATCCTTAGCAGGAAAATTATACTATGACCTAGAGATTTGTATTTTTCTATCCCTATTAAAAATTATTTAGCTTAGTACTATTTTCACAAATTATTTATTAATCTATTTTTGTTTTCATTATTTCATGTAATTGGAAGAGCTTATTAAGAATATGTATTTGCAATGAGTCTGCTGTAATTAAACACCAGCGGTCTTCATATGAAGCTCTTGTCCTGCATAATCCCGAATATTGAAGCAATCTGGGTTCAGATAACTGATGTAGGCTTATGTATTCTGTTTTTCTTCCTATTTTCCAATATGTATTTTACGATTGTTCCCTCAGGAAGTGCTCATGAATACAGCTCCTGCCCAGATGATGCTATTTTCCAAAGCTTAGCCCGCAGCTATTCATCTTTTAATCCAGCCATGTCAAATCCAAATAGGCCACCATGTCGCAAGAATGACGATGACAGCAGTTTCATTGATGGGACAACTAATGGTGGTGCTTGGTATAGCGTTCCAGGAGGTTTGTGTTGATGAAATGCAACATTTTAGTCTTATACTTACAGTATGTCAGAGTATGGCTGAAAGTAGAAACAGCAGATGCTAATGCAAGTCTGACTACAATTAGTGCATATTTTTATAGTTCAAATAATGTATTAAATGCTGCAAATATCATAGAACTCATATAGCTGTTGCCAGGAAGATTTACAGGCTGTTGGTGAGGCTGTTCCCTGATCTGTTGCAGGGTGATCTACCTACTAGTGGTGTTTCAGTCAACAGTATACAAACAGTTGCTGGCTAACTGGAGGCCTTAGCATGAACATACATTGTTGACTAGCATTGATGGGGAGCTATTAACTAGTCAACAGTGTTTGTTATTGTTCTTAAATAGTCATATTCTGTTTCTATCCAGAAAAAGTTGCTTATATAGTGCTGACTGAGATGACTTTACATGTCTCTTAGTGTTATTGTTCCAATATAATGTTGGCACAGCTCAATATGATGTTTTCTAAAGGGCACATTTTAAAAAAAGACGGAGAAGTGATTCTCAAGTGATAAAGGCACTGGCAGTCAGAACAGAAATTGTACTGTCCACTCCAGCATACCTATTGTCTGCACTGCTATTTCTTTTATCCATTAAAGTAGCCTGAGTGAGGAGATAGATGTCAAAACTTGTGGAAAAATAACCCCTGCCACAATATAAGGTTAATATGCAATGTAGAACCAATATGGATAGGAGGTAAGGCAAATATATAAAATATAAATACATAAAGTTGGAAAATATAAAATTGGAAAGGGTGGCTAGATATGGCTGAGGGCAGGTTTTTTGTATCCTAAAGTAGTTAAGCAGAACAACAACTTTCAGGAAGTGCAGCTATTCTGCTTATATCTGCTGATACTTTACTTAACCAAGCATAGGAAAACAGGCTGATGTGTGCCTGGTTAAACTGCCATTGTTGATGAATAAGTAGTCTATGCTGGATAATTTTGCATTTCTTTAAATACAAATAATATTGCTATTCTCATGTTCCCAAAAAACTATATGCAGAATTAAAAGAATCTAATCTCTTGGTAGTATAGAAATAGCTTCTTGAAGTATCAATCAAATTGTTTGTCCAGGGTGACTGTCAGACTGCTTAAGTCTCATTAAAATCAGCAAGAAGTAGGCAGCCTAATTTGATGAGGGGTTTTAATATGAACTGGAAACTTTAAAACTGTGAAAGTTTCCAGTTCATATTAAATTAATTTTAACTAAGTGCCTAAAGTTTGGCCCCTAACCAGCATTAAGAATCTACATTTACTGTGGGTTGTGAAGACTAGCTTAGCATATGAAAATGTGGATTTATGGAATCAGCAATCTAATTAATGTGCAAAATAAATATTATTTATGCAAACTATATTTGCACTAAATTACATTGCTAATTTATCCTTTTCTTAGCTTAAAAAAAAACAAAATATGACACTAACTCCTTGTTCAATGTATTGCAGTATTTACTGTGAAAGCAGGCCTTTTTCATATTGTGTAGCAACAAATTATTTCATAAATGTTAAGAACTAATTCATTAAATACAGCATTTTTTATGATACCATGGACTTTACTTATGAGAGAGAAGAAAAAATGGAATGGATTAATCTATTAGCATGGTTTTTCCCCGCTTCCTGTTACATACTGTTTCACTGATATAAAATTGCTGGTTCTATAAATTAATGCTTCCTGGCATGAGTTGTTAACTGATGTAAGCTCTGTAATATGTAGAAAAGAAAACATAACTCATGTTAGTCTGTCCTATACATGAAGCAAAAAATCACAACAGCTCTTTTAATTAATTGAAACCAATTTATATTCAGGAAAACAAAAGACGTAAAGATATATTCTTTCAGAAATGTTAGAGTTGAAATCAAGAGGTGATTAAATGTGCCTGTCAGTTTTACATCATTATTCCTGGTAGGCGGGGAATACATTCAGGCCCACTTTCCTTCCTTCCCTGATTTCTACCTTGATAAACAGCTATCTTTATATCTGTACTGGTACCTTAACAATCAGGTAACCGTCAGAGAATATGATGGGCATTCTAAACCACCTCTGGAAATCATACACAGAGGCTATTGTGTACATGTAGTTTCTAATGACGAATTCGGTTGCATTAATTCTTAACACAGTGAAGAATTAGCAGCTATCCAGAAAAGGATCAAGAAAAGTGTGTTCTTATTGATTCATTATGCTCCCCCCTTTTTTTTTTTTTTTTGCTTAAATTGTTTAGAATGCACTTCTGATTGATATTGAGTGATCCACATATAAACAACTATTATGTGGTCAAAGATACTAAACACTGGCTTCATCATGGGTAGGTCTCCATCTCATAATTAGCACTGCATTTCTTGAAATTGTACTACTTTAAAAAATCAATTTCAAAATCCTTAGTTTTCAAGGCTTCATTGGTCATGTTATTTTCTATCATTAACTCATTTTATCTGGGAACAACTGAATTACACCTGGAAATTCTTTGACTCCTAAGTAGAACTTTTGAAGCCAAATGTACCTCAGTAAAATATATAGACCAAATCTAATATTAGATGTGGTATGATCATTACATATAGCTGTACCTGCAAATCAATTTACAGCACAGAAGTTCATTATATTGCACTTCAGACTTTGGTTCAAGAATTGTTACCTGCCCTGAAGGTTTTGCAAACAGAAGGAGAATATGCATATAATATTGCATATTGTTCTTGAATTTTCTACAGCACACATCTATTTATTCTAATTGATTCAAGCTAATGGTTTCCACTTTAATTTGATATGGTTTAGAGCATACTGCTTATTAAATGTCAACTTTTTATATGCTAATTACACAGGTATGCAGGATTTCAACTACCTCAGCAGCAATTGCTTTGAAATCACCGTGGAACTTAGCTGTGAAAAATTCCCTCCTGAAGAAACTCTGAAAACCTATTGGGAGGACAACAAAAATTCACTTATCAGTTACATTGAGCAGGTAAAATTTTCCTGCAGAGTAGGGCTAGGACATCTATTGATAGACAAATGTCATACTTAGTTTTGGGTGACACAAAGTGGGTCAGGTTGGATCACAATGAGGCAGGACTAGTTATGGATTTGTACTGCAGCTTCACTCCTCCAAATGTAACCTGTTTCAGGTTGCAAACTCACACGTATGCAGTTGCTAGGTGATGGTAGCAATTTACTTAAGGTTGATTAGATAAACAGCAGATAAATCAAGCAGTCTTTTGGAAACAAAGCTTGCCTCAGTAGTTTTTCTTTAAATAGGAACATGCAGAAGAGAAGTCAGAATCCAATTTGAGGTTCAGATAGCCAAGCCAAGTTCATCACCCAGCCCAAAGGTCAGAATTTCAGGGTTTCTTGTATGAGCAGAATACACGGGAACGATATTGCTAAACTCAGGAAATTGGATGGTTATTTCTAACAGAGAAACATGGGTCAGGACTGCCTCTTAAATCAGGCTGTGGTCAGCTGTCATCTAATTAAAAGAGTCACTCCCTTGCTTGGCAAGGAGCATCTGCTTTCTGCTCTACTCACTGAGTCCGAGTGTTTGGAGGCATACCTCATCATCTGACTGTTTTAGCTGTTTTGATGATGCCTGTGTTTGATCAGTCTCAGGTGATTTCTGGCTTGGTGTCTCCTGAGGCTGATATTCCACTGGCTCAGCTGGAGCAGCTTCTTCATTCAGAGTCACCTGAGTCCTGAGCCATGATAAAATGTCAAGGAACCACTGTCAGTTTTCAGAAATCAAGGACAGACAGGGCACAAGCCTGAATAAAGAAGACTTGGAGATGAGCACTACAGGTTTCCTGTCATTGTAGTAAAACAAACCAACCACCCTTTTTTCAGTGGCAAAGGGCAGCTTCTCAGTGTTGCATTTGCACAATAAATATTACTGTGCTCAGTTGCACCCCTTGTGTTGAGATTTGAAGTACTGCCAGAAAGCACAGTGAACAGCTCAGTACAATACAAGTTTATACAAGTAGGCCCCATTAAGCTCAATGGATTTGTTTTTGAAATAAATATGGTAAGAAAGAAGCAAATTTTCCCTATATGGCTATAATTATACATAATTTGGGTTATTTGAAGTGGGAATAAATTAAAGGTTGGAATCAGGATTCACAGACATAATTTTGAACCTTTTATTTGTATCTGATTTCAGTTTCTACTTCGGAAAAAAAGCTCACATCAAAAAATTTGTTACATTATGTAGTTTAATCCCAAACCTAGGAGAATTTTGAAATTGGCAGCTGATTGTGTGGTACTATGATGCAATTGGAAAAACTGCCAAAGTTTGCCAAATAAAATATTCCCAGTGACTAAGTACTGAAGAATATCTGTTCAGTTTAATTTTATGTATGTTGGAAACATAAAAAGGCTTCCCTTTTGCTGCAAGAGACTTTACTTAACTATGAAGAATTTGGTCTATCACATACGGTTAGCCTTTCAGAATTCTTAAATGCTATCACCTACTTACATACATTTTACAGACCAGCATGTGTTCACAGGGCTTTGTATCATGGGTATCTTTTTTCAGTTAATAAAAATATTTTCCTTCTGAGATTCCCTGTATATACCAGTGGCCTAGTTCAGACACAATGGAGACTGTGATTGGTGGCAAGCTTGGACCAAACTGCCTTTTCTTATCCTGAGTTATTCTGCAACTCAAGTTTGAAGTCATGTTTTTCCAAAATAGGACATAACAGAACTGCTTTTGCTTCAAAATATAACTATAAGCTTCAAGAATCTTGAATCACAGAAGAGAATGAAACAGGAAGAGGGGATATTTGAGTCTTAAGTTTAACACAACTCTTTCATTTAGCAGGAACTTGTGTCCTGCTACATTTAAACACTACCAATGTATGTTCAGTATTTCCAGTTGGGCTATTCCATATATTGCAGTAGGAACAACTAAGACGGTTCTGCCGAGTTGTGGAAAGACAGAGTTCTTCCCGTGTCCAACAGAGTAATGATGCCCATATGAAATCACTATATCTTTCATTTAAACATTGCCTTCAGTTTTCACAGGTACATGCCAAAATTGTGCATCAGAAAGGTACAATAAATAGTAAACATTAGTATCATCAATAATATGGGGAGCATACAAATAAAGTAAATAAATATTGATTGTCTATCAAGCTGTAATTGGTAAATTCACCCACTGCAGCCTATTTCAAATTCTGGTAGCCTTCACCAGATATTGTTTTGGACTGTACAGAGCACCAGGCTTGTGACCAAGCAGGAATCCTATGAAGACAAACAGAGATCTTCCTGTAGGATGTTCTACATATACTGTGATCACAGTGATTGCACTATGTGTATAAATCACACATGGAGTAGTTCACTTTATCTAGCTCTAAGAACTAGCTGGCACTTACAGATAGTTGCCATTTCCTTCTCCTAAATTATCTTAATGACCAGATGCATTCTATAACCCAAAGATGACCCCTTCTGGGGGTATGCCCTCTCAATTCATGACACCAAATAACCACTTCTCTAGAATGGGTGTCTGTGTCTTTTAATATACCTTGCTTTCTTCATTGCTCTACAGTTGGAATGCTCATGAGGGACCAGCCAGCACAGGAAACATGTTTCTTCAGAATGTGCCTGTAGACAAACTATCTACATGTAGTTTTATGTAACTATATTAAGATTCTTTTGTCCCAAATTGTATTTAACTCATACCTGGAATTTTTATTCTTTCAGTTGGTTAAAGTCTTTTTGTTTGTCAGCATGATATCTTTCTGAAAACTAAACAGGAACAGGACCAAATTTGGTGTGGCAGCAGAAGCTGCCCAAAGAAAGGTGGAGATTAAAAATGGGCATCATGCTGAAGGTGGTGGAGAAGAAAATGTTCCCAATGCATTCCTATAGAAGAGGCAGTTGGACAGCAACTTGAAATTTGATGACTGCTTTAGTCTAAATCCTTGTCCTGGTCACATGATCCAGAATTGTTGTATGTAGCCCATATCATGCTTCCCAATGCACACGGACACATGCAGATGCAACATCTGCAGAAACACATACAGAGATGCACAAGGTAGCATCTTCCAGAAAAAAATAATCGAGATGCCTTCTATAACAAATGTTGATAAAGGGGCTAGAAATAAGTCCAGAAACCATGCTGTGCGTGGTTTTCCTACTTTTTGTTGTTGTTTGAGTGCTGAACATTTCACTGATTAGGATAACAGTCTTATTAGAGCTAAGCTAATATATTGACTCTGAAATGAGATTATAGCATCTCTTTGAGAACCTAATTCCCAATTAACTTCTGTGAATAAGGAAGGACTTATTTCCTGAAACCAGACACTCAGCAGTTGAGTCCAAAGCTTTATGTTCTTGACATAGGAAGCCACTGATTAAAAACTCACTTCAGCCCTAAACCACAAAATGGCTTTATTTATGTTGATGGCCAGTTTTAGACAATTTAGTTTAATAAATTGGAAAACACATTGCTTGCCTCTACACACATCTCCTTTGTACAAAATGCAGTTAAATGAGGAAGTCTCTTTTTAATGATAGCTTCCTATTTTATCAACCCAGTTTCAAAATCAGCCACGTTTTTAAATCACAGATTAAGGTTACTTTAATTTCGTAGTTTGCCCTCAATCTAGTAACTGTAGTTCACCAGTCTGAGTAAAATATGAAGCCTTTGAGAGGAGCCTTTGAGTCAGTGTTGACTCCTGGTGACTTGCCTGGACTTGTTGCAGTTTTCTTGGTAAGATTTCAGAAGTGGTTTGCCATTGCCTCCTTCCTAGAAATGATAGTTAGAGATTTTTAAAGTGAAATAAGTATTCAACAATATTTTATACTTATATTTATATTTACATATCAAATTTGTTACCACCCAACTCATTAAAAGTGACTTTGGGTTTATAGAGAAGATAAAATTAATTAAAATGTAATATAAAAGTATATATTGTAGTATAAAAGTATAAAATATTCAACAATATTCAAAATATTGTTTGAAGAGGCTCTTGATTCAGGTTATGAGCAAAAGACTCTGGAAACTACATGTTCATACTGAACACTGCACTTAAATGTGATTGCCCAGTACAGACATTTTCTCTGAAACTGAATCTACTAACTTTAATAGGGAGCTAATAGTGGTGAATTGTTCTGGGTTCTTTCTTTTCTTTTCTTTTGTAAATGTAATATTTAGAAAGAGAAATATTGAGACCTTTTGTGTTTTATTTTTAAGATACATCGAGGAATAAAAGGATTTATTAGAGATCTTCAGGGCAATCCCATTGCTAATGCCACAATTTCTATAGAGGGGATAAACCATGATATTACATCAGGTAAGTATTCATATGTAACACATGGAGACAGTTGATGAATGCTGATACAATGGATGAATCCAGCAATATACTTTTAGATCTGTGGAGGGGTTTTTGTTTTAGTGCTCACTGCTGCTGAAGGATGAGATAAGTGATTTTCACTGGTTGCCTTGTGCAACCTTCCATGCTATTCTTGATGATCCTGGACTCCTTGCATTTGATTTTGGAAAACAAAGAGGATCTCAGTAGAAGAATCATAGCCTCTCTTGCCACTGATGGAAACTTCTGATGGCCAAAACACCCTTTTGTATATGGATTGGCATCACCAGAAAGAAAAACAGTGTTTCTACTTATAATGTGTGTGTACAGCTTTTTTAAATCAAAATTGAAACTAGAAAATAGCATTGTTAGACTGATCTAGAACTAGCCCATTTTTCTGTTTCATTCAGGGCCAAATCTGAATCTCAGCTCAGAAATTCAAATCTCCAGGCCTCTATTTAACTATAATTGGATGGCAACAAATTACTAAAACTATTTTTTAGGAACAAAATTTGCAGGATTAGTGGCTTCTTATGAAGGTACAGTATGATGTATGTCAGTTATTGGGCAATGGGTGGAGAAAACTTTGTGCTGAACTGTATAAAAGAAACTGAAAGTAACTTTTTAAATTTCTTTGCAGAACTGGATGAACTCAGATAAAGTTGCCCCCTCTCAGCCACTCAGACCTCCCATATTAAAACTGAAATTGCAAAATTGCAATCCTCCTCTTATCACCAGATTCTTAATCCAGTTGTTCTATTTGCAGAAGAGAAAAATATATCAATATTCTGAATCTCAACATCATGTGCACATATAAATTTCATCTTCATTATGGACATCTGAGATCAGTTCAGTTTAATTTGACACATGGTATTCAGTTCAATCTGATGCATGTGTTTAACATATTTAATTAAAACATGAAAAGCTTAATAGTTTGTATTAAAGGTGCATAGGACTGTAGTTAGTTACTTTTCATTAACCAAAAATTTAATGTGAGCAGTTTTGCCTTTAAGTGGTGATCACAAAGTAATACTGAGAAGTGTGTGTATATCTGTACACACACACACACATCTATTATATATAAGTACACACTCACACCTAAATTTGTAGGCTTAATGTTTATAAACAAGCACTGAAAAACAGGAAATATATTAAAATTATTAGAGCTCATGAATGTCTTAACTTTTAAATAATGCAAGGTTTTATGTTTTCATGCTTTAAGATGGGAAGAACAAAAATATACTGGGTTCCACTGAGAGATTATTCAATAATGAAAAGAAATTCCAAAATTCCTTCCAAAATCACCCGCATATTTTGCTCCTGAGTCCAGTTGATGGATCTTGAGATTCTAACTAAAAACAAACCAGACTGAACATGTTTGAAGGCTACTTAAGCATGTTCCTAAAAGTTTTCAGAAATAGTGGTATGTTCCTTTTTCCTCAGCAAAGGATGGTGATTACTGGCGGCTACTGGTACCTGGAAATTATAAAGTGACTGCCTCAGCACCTGGCTATCTAGCAATCACTAAAAAAGTAGCTGTTCCCTTCAGTCCTGCCATTAGGGTAAGTGGTACCATTGCTGCATTTAACTTACCATGCCCATTCATACCTTGATGTTGGTTTTTTTATGTTTTATGTAATACATAAAACCTCACTGGTACTCTGTGAAATACTTTCAGTATTTCTTATGTGGAAGCTGAAAATCAGTCAGAGACTGAGAGAAAAGGGCAAACAAACTATAATACAACAAAGAAAAAAAGATAAATGATGGTTTTATGATGAACAAAAAAAACCTTGCTTGATATATTATGGTGATTAAGGTAAAGCAAACATGACAACAGAAGAAGAAACAAGTCTAATCAAGAGAGAGAGAGAGAGAGATCCATATATAGCAATATAAAATTCAATCCTTCAAATCTAGACCATGTACAGTGGTACTTAACAGTTTGTGAACCCATTTCAGTTTTAAATATTTCTGCATAAATATGACCTAAAACATGATCTCTTCTCCACACAAGTCCTAAAACTAGATAAAGTCTTGACCATAATACTATAGAAATGTTCTGCAAGGACCTGAAATGGACAGTTCATGGAAGGAAGCCCACCAACATCCCTGAGTTGAATCTGTTCTGTAAGGAGGAATGGGCTAAAATTCCTCCATGCAGATGTGCAGGACTGTTCAACAGTTTTTGGAAATGTTGAGTTGCAGTTTTTATACCCCAAGAGGAGCACACCAATTACTGAAAGTGAAGGTTCACATACTTTTGCCACATATCAATATGTAGCTTTGGATCATTTTCCTCAAGGAATAAATGAACAAGTATAATGTTTTTGACTCATTTGTTTAATTGGGTTCGCTTTATCTAGTTTTAGGACTTGTGTGGAGAACAGATTGCATTTTAGGTCATATTCATGCAGGAATAATGAAAATTCAAAAGGGTTCACAAACTTTTAAGGACCAGTGTATGTGATCTGAATGGAAAACCTGTCTAGAAGAGCTTAGTTTTTATATAGCTTGGTGTTTTCACTATAGGAGGTCTTTAATTCATTCCCAACTTAAAAGGTTGTTAGCTAAAAGCATTGGAAACCTTTCTCTAAATTCCCCTGATTCTGCTAAAATAAACCCTAGACACCTATAGCTCTCAGCCCACAGCTATTCCTGCTTTTGTGTAAGATTTTATGGGAGATCAAAATTCAGTAAGATTTAATCAGAAAGGTCCTTTGGGGGTGCAGGTAGGGGAATTGTTTTAAAAAAATTTCTGACATCATATGTAAATATATACTTATGGCAGAACCTTATACACTTGCTCAGAAGCATTGCCCACTGTTTCTTAGCACAGTGTGCATATGATTGTAGATTTAAATATTTCATTGGAATGCTCTTTCATTGAGGAGATTTCAGGGGATATACATTTAATGCAGAGTCATTGAAATAAGTCAGAATTAAGTTGGTTATTCTCATTGATTTCAGTAGATCGACTCTAAGGCAGATCTTCTAGAATCATTCCGTCATCATTGTAGCAATATATATTGTCTCAGTCATGGCTGGTGATTTGAGACAGTGCTGTAAGTCACAAGTGGGAAAATGGACTAAGTCTAGAACATATACAATTTCAGATATTAAATCCAGTCATTTCATCTACAAATTAAGAATATTCAAAATTCATGTTTGCTTTCTCTTGCCTAGGTTGATTTTGACTTGGAGTCATTGTCTGAAAGAAAAGAAGAGGAAAAGGAAGAGCTAATGGAATGGTGGAAGATGATGTCAGAAACATTAAATTTTTAAGCCCGAAGTTCTGAATTCATATCTCTTAATCTACTATGTGTTAATTTAGTGTAATGTACTGTGAAAAGTCCCTACATTTTAGATTTTGTGTAGCTCGTAATACGTAACTTTGGGGGTCTTTTTCCCTGAGTATTTTTTTTTTAATACCAATAACCTATTCTTCACAAAAGCAAGTTGCTAGAACCTTTTATGTCATTTTTGCTATCCTACATATTCAACTTGAAGGGCAAATATCCACAAAAATGTCTCCTAATGTGACTGTGAATTTGAGTGTTTCACTTACTGTCCCAAATATACAGGCTAAGTACATTAAAAAGCTATAATAATTAGTGGTCACTTGTAACAACTGCCACAAATATTTGTCCGTACAGATAAACCTATTTACATTTTTTTTTAAAAATCTCATAATGGCACTGAAAATATATGTGATAAGAATTTAGTGTTGTACATAACTAAGTTTTTCTCTGTGGAAGAACCACGTAAAATAAGAATCACAAGTACTTGGGTATTACTCATATGGAATTGTTCTTAAGAAAAAAATAGTACAATTTTTTCTCTTGTGTTTGTTAATGATCCTAAGTAACTTCATAATCAGATTAAAAATTCTGGATCGATAAACAGTTGTCATATAGTAAGTGGATATTACTGGTTTCTTGTGCTTGCAATATATTATTTGTGTTATCCTGTTTCTCAGTAACTGTATGCATTAAGTAGACATGAGAAAGCTTCAGGATTTGCGTGAAGAACAAAAAGTTCCTCCCAAAACTGCTTCGCCTGCTGCTTCTTTTAATGTGGATGGGAAATTCAAGATATGTGATATTCTCTTAAAAATCAAAAATTTCAACATGTTGTCTATGAGAAGCAACTTCTCTAGGTACAGTGGAATTTATTTCCTGGTCACCCGTCATGAATTCAACCAATGCTAAACGTGATAGTTTAGATTGTAAGGGTGCTTCGTCTGAAATGAAGGAATTTCCAGATGACCATGGTAATTTAAATTGGCACCAGCACTTTAGGGAGCAACCTGCTTTTCACTGTAAACTAGCTCACAGAGGATAGCACAATCAGCCTAAATGGTGGAGCTCATTCTGTCAAAATGAAATGAACGAATCTCTACTATGATGTTTCTCGTTAGGGCTGTGCAGCACTTTAGATTTGGTTCCCCAAAAGTGTTTCAGGATGTGTGGAAGCTCAAATGTAGCATTTACCTGCAACACCATTAAAAGCAGTTGTGTCTTTTCTGGGGATGTTGTGTTTAAGATGCTGCAGACGGAGGCTGGGTTTGCATTCTCATCTGCTCTGAAGCAATGCCGGCCCTACTTTCTAGATCACATAATTTAATAGCTTTCCACTGTTGCTTGTCAGTTTTAGGAAGCACCTACAAGCTTTCTAGCAAGCTAATTAGCATAATAACATTAGACTTAGACCTCAAACTCTCTGTCTAAAGAGAAAATAAAACCTTTATTTTAACAGCAACAACATAAATACAATTTAGGAATAAAAACGCCATTTTGCTTCCCAAACACTGAATGTTTTGCAGTCTGTTCTTACACCAACATACTGATTTATATATGCATAAATAGCTTCAAGAAGTAAAGGGTTAACTGCAAATGTATTTTAATTGAGAAGCTAGCCTTACTGTGCTTACCCCCAGCTAACATAAGAAAAACAAATCAGTCTTGTATTGAGAAAAGTATCTGTACAGGGTGAGTGACTACGTGGATATGTATACAGTATGTGTCTGTGTAGTTCCTATTCTGAATTTAAGTTGGAAAAGTTGAAATGAAAGGATGAAGTTGAATTTAAGTTAGAAAACACAGGCATGGAGAAACTATTGTCCTGTATTCGGTATAGTTATGCAGTCGATGCTGTGGCAAAGGGTAGCACAGGCATAGACAATTACTTAATTCAGCTTGTAGTTTGTATATATGCTTATTGATTTTCATGCTGAGGAATTGAAACACAAATGTTTCTATGGGTAAATTTGTTGGCTTTGTTAATGTATGCTACTAACTATTCTGAAAGCATTTAAAACAGTTGACTATAGACAAATCTTCACAGATCTTTTATCTAGCAACTCTAATTCTTTCTTGAAGTGCATGATATATATTCCGATCCATGTTTTCCTCAGTATTTTTTCTCCCTGTCTGCTTTGATGACTTTCTTTTTTGGGGTGGGGGGTAGGGGTGAGTGCACTATTAGTTAAAATGAATTTCAATCTTATTATATAATGTCATAAGAGAAGGTGAATTCAAAGATGGGTGGGAAAACAACCTATTTCCTGCAAATTAGGCAGGGGCTGATTGTAATAGCCATTATTTACAAGCCATAGAATAACGGCATGGCTGAGAGCAAATAAATAGCAGGGAAATCCTTTCACCCAACATAATCAGGGCCAATAGATGGTTAATTGCTACTTATGGTGTTTCAAGTTATGCTGGAGAAAAGGATTAGCCTGTAAGAATATGTAAGAAATGAAAATGTGAACCTGTATGTAAGAATAAAGAAAGGAACGTACGTGTATATAAGCACACAATTTTGAAGGCAAAGTCTTGTCTAAGTTAAACTTGAGTGACTTCAGACAATTAGTGGACTGTTAAAAATGACAGCAACTGGGACTCACAATTGTGGTCCTGTCACTTGGCTGTTTATTTTTTAAGTAGCACCACTGGCTCCTCCCACACTTATACTATTGGTGGATGTCTCTGCTCTTGTTTTAAATTAGGTACATAACTACTAATGAGCAGCAGCTGAATTTGAAGAGATACTTTTATCATATATGCTTCATATGTAAAAGATCCCTTGAAGAAAGGTGAGAGGGAATGAAAAGTTGTTGCTTTGCACACTGTGGGTTCTTAGTTCAGTCTCCCTCCAGTGTCTCCTGCTGATGGATTTCAGATACCATAGTAGTGAAAGGTTAACCTGGAGAGCCACTTAGTGCAAGTGACCAAAGTGTGACATTAACTGGACTTTCTGGACTATCTGTAAAAGGTTTATTAAATTGCTAAAATATGCAAGGCTGTAAAGCAGTTTATGATTTAAGGAATTTAGTGTTGGTTTTAAAAGGCATAAATGATCTTACAATTAAAAAGTCTATTTAATCTGAAAAACAAAAGTCTAATGGAATGCATGAGATCCTTTGCTTTCAATTTATCAGGAGATGGCTTGGGTATTTTATCAAAACGTTTATGTCCCCTCTTTTTACTCTGGGGACAGTGCTTAAAGTCAGTACTCAGTGCTTATTTGCCTATCTTTACATCACATCCATATCGCATGAATGAAAAGAAAGACCTTTGTTGAATGCTCAGAAGTAATTAATTTCTCCCCGAGGCCTTAGCATCATTTGGCATTCTTAAATATTGAACTATTAATAAGTATCTTGAAGTTACAGGAATGCATACATTAGTCATATCTGTGTAATGCATTTAGGCCTTTGGGATTGGATAGGCTAAACTCTACAGAGTAAAGGAAAACTGAATATTTTAAATGGAATATATAACCAAAGCAAACCACCTCTACAAACATCACTGCTTATAAATAATTTATCATAGAAGAAAGGCACTAGTACCAGAAATTGAGGGCTGTCAAAAATACAACCTTTCAAAGATCCTGTTCTTGCCAAAACAGGGAGGTCATCTCAGGTTACCAGTACTCCAGGAAGGAATATTAGAATTCTAATCTGTCTCCCTCATGGCTGAATATCAACTCGTTATGTTACTGCCGAGAAGAAGAATCATAATTCTAGCCTTTTCATTGTATGATTTTGAGTCAAGAACTTTTTGCAAATCACTTATAAAACAGAGTTCTGGAATTAATCAGAATAGCAGAGCACATTACGAGTACTCCGTCTCCTAGCTAATACTGATTGGATGGAGAGATGTACTCCCTGTTTTCAACAACTTGTCTTTCTGCTTCAGTTTGCCAAATGTAGGCTGGGAGTAAGCACATTCATTTTAATAGGAATTGTGATGATTGCTGAGATAGTTATAGCTTTAGGCAAAATAGTTTAAAAACAAATTTAATAGTAGTCACCAAGACGTCAATCTACAATGTATTTAATCTACTCTGACATTTTCCTAGTAAAGGTGTTACAATAGTTCCAACACAACATATAACATCATAGAAATGGATATTGAACATAGCACCTACTTAAAAACCCTCAGCTATAATCTCTTCCAAGAAAAGACAACATCCACAAACAAGTACTTCCACATTTGAAGCCTCCCTTGTTCCTAATGCCTGACATTGTGGGAGAGCTAGGCTCCATAAAGGTCACATGTTTTACAAGCTATAGCGATGCATTTCCAGGCTCCCATCACTGCCATAGTTTTTAAAATTGTGATCTTCAGATCTGTCCACAAGTGGAACTTTAAAATGCTCTGGTTTATGTCTTCTCTCTTATGCCTTTGCATCTCGGACTGTCCAGTGCAGTCTTTCTCAACCTTGACCACTTTAAGATGTGTGGAGTTCAACTCCCAGAATTCCCCAGCAGCATGTTGAAGTCCATACATCTTAAAATGGCCAAGGTTGAGAAACACTGGTCTAGCGCAATACATTTGCAATTTAACTTTGTGGCACTAATGATACTAGGTGGGGGAATTTCTTTGCCTGATGGTTGTCTGAGTTTGTCTCTCAGCAGCACTCTGCTCCTTTCTGGCACTCAAAAGGATTTACAGCTGCCTCTGGTAGTTCTATTTCCCATCCACACAATGGATCTTGAAATCACTTCATATCAGGAAGGTTTACAATACTCCTAGATGAAATACACTTATTAAATATTGCATACAGAAGCTGTGAGCATTCAAAACTCACTCCAAAAGCAACTCTCAAGAGCAGGGAAATAATGCCAGGAGGACCAGTTGTACCAGATTTCACAATGCTGGATAAAATGGATGGATCCAACCCCACATTCTGTTAGATACCACACGAGGGGGGGGGGACTTCGCATTTCTCCAAAGGATTTCCAATGGTCTGATACATACAATGCAATGCTAATATTACATTAGCAAACTAATATTAAGTCAAAACTAACAACTGATTTATCAGATATGCTGAGGCATGGTTTAGATGCAATACCCATCTCCTAAGGCAGATCCAGTAAAAAAATATTTAGATTAGGGCTCAAAGTGCGTCTTGTTGAATTAAACAATCTTTTCCCATTAAAATATTTTTAATAAAAAATATTAAAAGACTAAAGAATCAAAGTATACATATAATTACAAAAATACAACAAATTCAAGGTATTTTAGTTGGGGAGATTTTCAATCCAATGTATAATCAAGTGCAAATTAAAGGAAGCACAAAATAAGTGTTAGTGCACAGAAGAAAATAAGCTTGGTTGGAGTGAAAGATTTGGTAGTTTTAAATGGTGTTTGGTGTCTCAGGCTTTTGATTATTTGTCTGTGATCATCAAGAATGGGAGCAGGGCTTGCCTGAGAAAGGTAATCTTTAGGCAAAGAAGGAGGAGGCTTGAGAATTATGCTAAAACAGGGGAAAGAGTGTGGAAAGAAGGGGTTTTGGAGCCCCTATGGAGGTCTGTCTTCTCCCATAGGCAGTCAGGGAAACCCTAATTCAGAGACAGAAATCCTCCCAAAAGATGGAAAAGAGTCTTC